TCTATAATTGAAACTTTGTAGCCTTGAGCGGAGCTCAGGGCTGGCAGGGCAGGCAGGAAGCTTGGCTTCCTCCGTTGCCGGGGGCAACCCAAACCTCCTGCTCGCTCCAGCTCCGTGGCCATCTTAGTTGGGTTAATTTTCATATTTTCTCCTGATTGGCTGGTGGGCGTGGCTTGTGGGTGTAGCGGAGGTACGGTCAATTTGCATGTTTCTCTTTTATTAGATAAGATGAGGGAGGTGGATACATAGAATGCCCTTCCTTAGAGTAGTGGGCAGTGTAAAATGCCACCTAGATCCCCCTTCAGTGAGGACATGCTGCCCCAGATGTTGCGGAGACTGTCAGCAGATGGCTGCCAGCTGTCAGCCTCTGGGAAATCACACCCTTTCCTGAGAAGCCCACAGGCTACAACTGATTGATGTGTGATTGTAATAACTTGGCCATCTCAGCCTGGCTTGAGACCACTCTGCAGGGCTGCTCTAGCTCAGACCTCCCATGTGAGCTTTTTCTTCCCTTTACATCCATCCTTCTGCATACCCACTCACCCGTCTAATCACCCTTCCATCCATCCATCCATACATACATTGTCTATCTGTCCTTCCTTCCTTCCTTTCCCCACTTCCTCCCCTTCCCTCCCCCTCCATTCCTTCCTTCTTTCCTTCCTTCCTTCCTTCCTTCCTTCCTTCCTTCCTTCCTTCCTTTCATCCAACCATACATTGTCCTTCCTTCCTTCCTTCCTTCCTTCCTTCCTTTCTTCCTTCCTTCCTTCCTTCCATACTTTGTTTATCTCTCTGTCCTTCATTCTTTCCTTCCTTCCCCCTTTCTTCCTTTCTTCCTTCCCTCTCCTCTCCCTCCCTCCTTTCTTTTATTCCTTCCTTCCTTCCTTCCTTCCTTCCTTCCTTCCTTCCTTCCATACATTGTCCATCTGTCCATCCACCCATTCATCTCCCTGTCCACCTTTCCTCCCTCCCATCCTTCCCTTTCCCTCTTGTTCCAGAAATGATTCCAGTTTTCCCATCTGTAACATGGGATAATAACTAATTTGCCAAGTTATAATGAAGGCCCCCTGAGACAATGCACACAAAGGGCCTGGTGACACGCAGGTGCTAAATGAAGTGTACTTGCTGGTCCTGGTGCCTTTGCTTCCGCCTGTCTCAGTGGTCAGACACCTGCCTGCTCATCCCCCATGGTGGAGAAGTCCAGGTGCTCAGGTCTCCAGGATCCACTGCTGCTGTTGGTGGTCAAAGCTGCAGCCCCAGGGTCAAAAGGCTGGACACATGGCTTGGACTCAGAGCCTGTGGAGAAAGGCAGGACGAGGGGTCAGGGCTGAGCTGGGAGGTCTGAGGAGCCCTGAATTCTGCATCTGCCATGGCTCTCCACAGTCCTCAGTTTCCTTATCTCTGAAATGGGATGGTGGTTTTTAGAGAAGAGGAGAGAAAATGGCGGCCCAAATAGGCACTGGGGCCAGACTAGTAAAACAACTAATCGGAGAACATCCACCTGGAATTAACAAATTAGACACAGCAGAGAAGACAATTTACAAGGAAGGGCTTTCCTTATCTCTGAAATGGGATGGTGGTTTTTAGAGAGGAGGAGAGAAAATGGCGGCCCAAATAGGCAGTTGTGTCGGCTACCTCGTCCTGGGGCCAGACTAGTAAAACAACTAAATCGGAGAACATCCACCTGGAATTAACAAATTAGACACAGCGGAAAGACAATTTACAAGGAAGGGCAGAGGACACCCAGAGAATGGTAGGAACGGGGATCTGGGCTAGAGGGACAGCCGGCCAGCAGGCCGAGAGGGTGAGGAGGAAGCTAGCTGCATTGCACCAAAGCCACATCCCTTGGTGACAGGCATAACATCCAACTGTAGAAGGGAAAAGCCACAGGATTGCTGGTGGCTGGGGAATCTGTACCTAAGACCACAGTTGCGAAAGGCTGCCCCTCGAATGGTGGTCCGAAAGGCAGCCCGAGCAGTGAGATGCTGGGGAGAGAGAAATCCACAGTTTCATGGTTGTTTTGTCCTTGCTTTTATTCGCTAAACCCAGAACACAGGACTTTTCGATTGCAAACACTCCCCCGAGGCTTCAGCACAGGGAAAGAGGCAAAAGGCACAGACGAGATGCCTGAGGAGAGGCCGGGGAGGGAAGCAGGGCAGGGAGACGTGGCCAAGAATCCTGCATTGGGACATTCTCAAGCTTCCAAACCTAAGTGGCCATTTCTCCCCAGAAGAGCTAGCCCCTCCCAGTAGCCTCAAGGCAG